GAGTTGAACCAGCGACCTAAGGATGGCTGTGCAAGGGAGCCTACAGTCCTCTGCTCTACCAGCTGAGCTATTGAGGGGATGTTCAGGCTTTATCTGACAGCCTTTCATACTGCATAGCAGAGTCATTTCTCACACTATACAGTATATTTTCTTGACTTCTAAATGTTGCTCCCTGCACCCATATGTTGCCTTATTAGACCCACCCTTGCAGCACAGACTAGCCTCATCTCACCTCTCATTCTAAGCCGTCTACTGAGATCGGTGCTGAGCGCACTTCCCTTACTTCATCTCCCTAAGTGCCCTATATATCTTGTTGGATGACTATTTCTCTGCCTATTGTCACTTTTCTCTCCCAAACACATCACATCTTTTATTGCTGTGAAGGGCTGCATTGGTCCGTGTTCCCAAGGTATTGCAGTAGCAGGCCATTCATCATGAGAAATATCAGAATGGACATTAATCCATGTGTTTGGTATGGGAAGTAGCCAACAAACTCGGGTGTTTGTTTCACTCTCCATTTTTTGGCTTCTTTTTTCTCTACTCACAATGAACCACAATTATCACATAACTTGGAATGTCACTTTTCCAGGAACCCTCAGGGGAGCTTCTATATAGCTGATACTTCATGTTGTGCCACGTAGTATTTGACCTTACTTTTATTCTTTGTTGAGTTGGACCTCACTGAGTCCTCTTTCTCACTCATATGAATTGCACTACCAGTATATAGATCTCTTTCCTATCACTAAATCATTACCAATCAGTATATGTCAATTTGTTTTGCAGGGAGTTGTTTTGTTAAAGTACTATTTATAGTGAGGATATTTTTCCCCAAATAAAAATAGGAACATATATTTTGTCAACTGTTCTACGTTGAATGTAATTCTGTTAGTATTATAAAACAATACTAAGTAAAGTGAGTGTGCAACTAAAGTTTTTCACCTTTTCAAAGCTACATTTTGTTTGATTTATTATTTTTTATGAGATTGTTGGGGATATGGAGAGGGCAGAAGGTGTCTGGATTTGTGGGAAAAGAGAAAGGCTGGAGATTGATTGTCTGATGCCTGCAACCACACGTGGGTTTTGAAAGTAATACCTCTCCCATTTTTTTAAATTCTAATTGCTGAGGTTTGTTTTCAGCTAAGAAAAGGGGAAGATTGCATAAGCTACTTAGATACTTGGATGGCACATAATGTCATTAGTCATGCAAGACTTAGCTTGTTTTTCCAGTTCTCCTATTCCATCTTTTATTATCTTTAAGGTTCCATACCCTAAATATGACTGAAAATTTATGTTTAAGGTACCACAGGCACAGTATATTAAATATGGCTGAATGTGAATCCCTTCATGCCTTTAGAGACACCTTTAAGGAGTTATTTATTTTCTATGAGAAGATGAATTGGGTTCAGCATACATAACTGAAGAGATCTTTGGCAGAGGCTGTTCCCAGGCTCATATCAGTCTTGATATTGGCAGAATGTCTCCAAGGCAGGAACTGTCATCAAGAGCAAAGCAGTTACATTTCACTGGGGGAATAACCTGTACTGGGACTTCAGTGGAAAGTCAAGCAAGACCCTACTCTAAAGATAAATTTGTTAGAAGAAGTGTAGGAACACTGCCTTCACACCACAAATAATATTTTTTGGTGTAATAGTCACGGCTAGCTCCTGAAACATTCGGAGAGAATATTTGCAAAATGCAACATAGCTTGACTGAGGTGAGGATCGTGGAATTTGTAACACTACTAAATCACTTTTGATGCCACTAGAGGTCAGCACTAATCATTAAATAAACGTCCTGGAAAAATCTTATTCCCAGTTCCTCAAAGGGAGTGGAGATTTTTGGAGAGATACACTTCTGTCTATGCTTGTTTTGCAAGTCTGCTTGAGCTCACACTGCCAGTGCTTCAATATGGTTGGAAGCAAACCCTTTCTTCTCAAAGCTGTCTGTGAGCTGATGGTCCCACACTGTTCCTTTCAAGCTGTACCTGTCCTTGGATGCCATAGCGCTGAGTACAGTCAGGGGAAAAAGGCAGTACCAAACCCTGTCCAAGCAAAGGCCTCCCGCCAGCGTAAACAGCCCAAAACAGCTGACAATCAGCTGCTGCTGCTTTAAGGACCGTCTCAGAAGTGTGACAGTGGAGAACTAGGCCAAAAGACAGGCGCTTGAAACTGGGGCTAACTCACTGTGCTTTTCCACCTTGTGCTTCAGATGGATGCTTCCTTTCTATTGCAACTCCTAACTGAGGTTTCCATCATCGCTGTCTGGGCTTCTGCAAACACAGACACTGTTTACAAAATTTTATTATAGCTACTATTGATAGGCAACCAAATATGGAATTTCCTTTGCTATACAGAAGAGAATGTTGATGGGATAAGCAGTGTGATCATCGTGTTTTTAAACAACCTTTAAAAAAATCTTTGTTGAAACCTGCTAAATTATGCAAATCAGTTGGCAATCATAATGCAACAAATGTGTGCGATTTATTATCATGCTGCAATCTGTGCTTTCAGCATATATCACTGCCTCCTTTAACAAGGTAGTTGACCTGGTATCAATACACAAAGTTCATGCTCAGTGTAGTCGGAACACCTCTTTCACCAAAACTTTCATGTTCAGTTACTTTGTCTTGCTTTCCTTCCACTGACTCCTCTGTGCACATCAGAGCTGGAAAAAAGATGGCTGAACATGCTGATCAGAATGTTTATAACTCTACTAAAATATTTTGTGATGTTTTGCAAGTGTCTGTATACATGCACACATATACAGATATTTTTTTTTTCCTTCTTTTTTTTTTCATGTTTAAGAAAACTTGCTCTGAAATATCATCCCGACAAGAATCCGGACAATCCAGAGGCTGCAGAAAAATTTAAAGAGATCAACAATGCTCACGCAACACTGACTGATCTGTCCAAGCGAAACATATATGACAAGTATGGATCATTAGGGCTCTATGTGGCAGAACAGTTTGGTGAGGAAAATGTTAACACCTACTTCATGCTCTCAAGCTGGTGGGCAAAGGTAAGCTGTTATTTTCTGTTGGAAAGCAAATGTTACAATGCACACAGACAATTACATACACAAGGAACCCCCTGAAAAACACGGTCTCTCTACAGGCTTAACAAATAACAGGATCTGAATCTAAACACTACTAAAAGCTTAATTAAACAACATTATCTGGAAAATCGACAGTGGCAGAATGTAACAACGGCTCAGAATAGGGCTAATATAGAATGTTTTCTTTTTCTTTTTAGCTTGGTAAATAGTTAGATAGAGTGCATGTTTTGTAAGACTTTCAGACATTAATTAGATTTGAATCTAGTGCTCCGGGTTAATTTTGACTTTCTTTTCAGTAATGACTCATTGTTCAAAAACAAGAAGTCCCACTTATGTGACAACCAGTTAATAACTTATTACAGAGCAAATTTAGCTGTGTTCTTTGCTATATATAGCACACAGCGTAAGTAAGCAATAATAATACATAACACTCCGTGATTACGGTGTCATATGTGTGCCCTGGTGAGGGCGTGAGAGAAAGGAAGTGGAAGAAAAGGTGAGAAGAGTGGAGTGGAGGAAGAAAGCAGGGAAGGAAGAGAATGATGCATCCAAACCTGGCATATTGCTCAAGGAAAAACACATTAGGAGCTGCTCTAGTCGTAAAGGAGCTGTGTTCATGTGCTTTCTTATGTCACTGGTGTCCTCTGATGTTTGCATGTGTCAAATTCCAGTGTTTCTGCAAATATTGAAATGTTACGAACGTGTAACAAACCAATAGAAATGCAATGCACAAAATCCATGCTGTTCCCACCTATTTCCAGCAATAGAAGCACAGGAAAGCAAGGACTCTGCTGGAATACATAGGGAAATGATCTGTACTCTGAAGCGAGCACAGCTTTCATCTGAGAACTGTGGAACATGGATTCCTGTGTTCCTCACGGATCAGGCCAGTGCTTCACTGCCCTGCAGTCTCCATTCAGACTGGGAAGTCGCTTGGGCGCTTCTGTGGGTCAAAGAACCCGTAATTTGTCTGCTGAATCAGGATGAGACAGAGGCTGCTCAAATGCAGAACAGTGAATGAAACTAATGAATAAAATACTGGTGTTTAAATTGCACTTGCAAAGGCGCAGTTGCACTCTCAGAAGCAGGCTGGAGGCTGCCGGCTGGACTCCCCACCATGGATGTTGTCTTCTCCTGCTGGATCATTCCCTCTTTTCTTTGTTGTCCACCTTCTCCTTTGGCATCTTTGTCACAGTTCAGATGCCGGGAAGCATCACCTTAGAGCTGAGACAGCAGCAGTATTGACTCCTCTAACAGCCTTGGTAAACAAGGTTTTCTTTACTATTTGCTGCTTCTTTAGCTTTTATTTCCTCTTCTGCTTACCCATCTTTAATGGAGATTTTATGAAGTATAAAATCCTCTGTGGTTAGAAAATCAGGAACAGAAATAACTGTTGTGGCTTTGACTCATAAGGAGAGCAGTGGATAGTACAGAGAGAAGCTAGTAAATCCCTAACAGCTAAAGGAGGAGTGTGTGGATTGTTTCAAGGGAGCTGTATCCCGGAGGTGAGATAAGACATGTTGAATATTCCAGCAAAAGTAATCACTGTTTCCTGGTTTTTAAGAATTATGTGCAAAAAATCCAAAATATATATGCATATGGACTCATTTAAGGATTGTCACAGGTGGTCTCTCTCTATCCCTCCACCAACGCAAAAGCTTGCCACCTCCAAAGCATAAACAGTCCAAGCGTTTTTTGCAAGCTGAGCTCACTATTCCTCATCTCTTTTTAACTGATACACAAATGCTGGGTCAGTTTTAGATTTTCATATTGGCCATCATAATGCTATTTGAGTCTGAGGCATCATCTGCAGGTGACGTCTGGACCCCTAATTTTCTCAATTCTGGTAGAAGACAGTAGTGACCACAGCTTTCACTCGTTATCTTCCTCTTCAACTATTAACATTCCTGGTAAATCCTCTTCCCTATCACACTCATACTCAGAAAATCTGACAATTGTGAGGTGTATCATTAGAAGTAAGGAAACTCAAATGAAAGGAGAAATGCAAAGTGAACATTACTTTTCTTTGGAGTGCCAGACTTCTTAGCAGGCATATTAAACTGGGAGCATTCTGACATGGGTAATGGGAACTTTAACTGCTTCTCCACTGGCAGTCATAGGAGTTGTTCGTTTGACTGTTTTAACAAAAAGCAATTCTCCCTTTACCATGAAGACAGTTTATTGATTTGCTGATTTAATAACTATGATAATATAAGCACAAGAAATCTGGTAACATTTAAGGTACCATGAATGAATTTGAGCACATATTTTCCTCTATACGCTTTTATTCTGTTTTTTTTTTTTTTCATTCTGTCCGTTGTGGTGATTTATTCACCTTTATGACATAAATGATAAACAGCCAGAAAACTTATTTCAGGGGTTACGGGTTTGTATAACAGTTTCAGGTGTCCATTGGAAGGAAAACATCTTAAAACAAAAAGTCACAGTCCTTCTTTTCATTTAAAAGCACCTCGCTCACTCTTGATATATGCCTATATTATTATTAGGCATGTAAATATTCTTATTACATTCAAAGGTGCTCCAGTTTGCTCCCACTTATGTTGCCTGAGACTTGCATACTAACTGAGGGTTATTTACATTGCTTCATTGTCAAAGGTTGGCAATATCCTGACGTTTGTGCTTACTTTCTTCTTCAGCAGCATGTTTTCTTATGAATATAACAAATAGTTAGTAAAGGGCAGATTGTATAACTGTAATGCTGAAGCTTGGCTATACGTCCAACCCGTATAAGCCTGGTGGCCACAAAGCTGTGCTGTCTTTACATACACATTCCACATATCAGCTTTGACTTGCTTTTCAGGAATGTCACTGACTTTTCTTTGCTCTTACGCCGCTATGGCCATGAAGAGATGTGGAGGTTTCTCCTTTGCCACAAACATCTGGGTGCAGGCCTGGATCCGCCCTGGGTCAGAAGCCAGGGCTGCCATCATGCACCCATCGAGCACGGGGCAGCAATACCAGCCTAAGGGCTCCCCTCCTGCAGCCCCCCATGCCACTTGGCACACAGCCCCCAGCGCAAGCAGCTGTGGAGCTGCGCTGCGAACCCAGGCAGTGACCTGGCCTGGAGGAAGAAAAGCTCTGCAAATTAAAGTTTTCTGGCTGTTGAATCCGGCCGAGATCTCTGGTCTCAGCCCCAGGCAGTTGTGCTGGCTCTGCTGAAGCCTCCGTGCTCTATGCCACAGGGACAGGAGTGAGCAGAGGGTGACGCAGGTGGGCACTTCTTGCCGCCTGAGTCCCAAGATCAAGAAACCACAGCCTGAGGAGTCTAATTTAGGAGTTGTCACCTGTGTGCTCCTTCACAGGCTAACGGGGAGAGAGAGACTCCCCTAACGGGCAATTCAAATCCTCCCAGGGCTGAATCACCCTTTGGAAGGGCTTTTAACTTCCCATTGACTATGTGTTTTAACTTCTCATTGACTATGTGGGGAGCCCATGGGGGCTACAGTCCTAATTTGGGTGCCTTAGTTCAGTGCCTGAAGTTATGTGGGATGCATCCGGGTCTTTGCTTCTTTTTCTCTTGGCTTTGTTATTGACAAGAACTTGCCAGTAAATAAGTGTTTGCGAAAATGATCTTGGGCAAATGAGTCATTTTTAAGATGGAAATGAGTCATTTTAAGGTGGGTGGGGTTTTGCATACCGCCTGTAAGTTTTTTGTGAGGGCCGTCAGCTGAAGACAAACTTTCAAAAGTTGAGCATGCAGGGGCCTGTTGGTGGGTGTCTTCTTTGTGGACGTGGTCCTGAGTGGTAAGTAGGAGCTGGTGGGTGAGGAGGACTTTGTGGCCCATGTTTAGGCACTTGGCCAGTAGCTGTGCTCCTCTGAGTGCCAAGCACTGGGGAACCTGAGTTCCTTTGACAATCTGCCTTCAGCTGTATGAGGCTGCCACGAGTTTCAGGAAGGTCATTGCTCATGGGGTTTCCCTCCCGCTGTGTTTGACCCAGGGTCTGTTTGCAGTCTGTGGCCTGCTGACGGGCTGCTACCTCTGCTGCTGCCTCTGCTGCTGCTTCAACTGCTGCTGTGGAAAGTGTAAGCCCAAAGCACCCGACGGGGAAGAGCAGGAGTTTTGTGTGTCTCCAGAAGATTTGGAAGAGCAAATTAAGAACGACATGGAAAGAGGTGTGTATTATAGAGGCTTACTGTGTGGCAAAGCTGTTCAAAACAATCTTTAAACTTGTTGGCCAGATGTTCTGCTCATGATGCTGAGGCTGCTTCCAGACATCAGTGGAGACATGCCAATTCAATCCAGCTGACACAAGGACCTGAGGGACTTCCCAAGTTGTGTGTTAATGAAAAACTAAACTTATGGCACTGACAATTAAATATCTCCGGTATCTCTTATGAGACGCTTAAAGATTAGAAGTCTCAGGGCTCATCTTAAGAGATGATGTTCACCCTCAAGCACCCATGCCCACGTGGCTTCATATCCTAGATCCTGAATTTACAGATTAGGCCCTGGCTGGACTGGTGCTTGCCACATCTGATCTACCTGAATAAGCTGTCATTTGGTTTTTATTCATGTAAAATTTATCGCTGACTGTGGTGAGCCAGCTGTACCCATTCAAGAAAAGAGGCAGAGCTTCCAACAGTAAGTGCAGTAACCTAAGACAGTTTGCATGGGAGCTGCCGCGGTCCTGCCCCGCTCCCATCCAGCCCCCAACCTGCCCATTCTCTTCTGCACTGGCAGTAGCTATTGTGCTGCCTTACCAGGAGCCAGACCTTGGATATGATCCATGTGAAAACTAATCCTCTCAAAAATGTGTGTAGTTCCCTGCCCGTTTAACTCCCTACTGTGTCTCGTGGTGGGGCAGGCCAAGTGCTAACTCTGGCTCAAAGAAGGGAGCAAGAGCACCCAGTCGGGAACACGGGCTGAGGGCAGCAGGACCCTCTTCGCAACTGGTCACCCTCTTTTCTTGGCTTCACTGCATCCCCCAGCTGTGCATACAGGTTTTGGCTATACCAAATGGTGATGGTGGTGATTTCTGAATTTGGCACTAGCATGGGTTACATATTTTAAACAAAGAGCCCTGCCCTAATCTGCTGAAGTGGCACAGAGTTTTGCCTTCATCTTCAGGGGAAGCAGAAACATCTCAAAGCAAATCTGCAAACTTGCAGGACAAGCTGAGAGAAGCAATGATCCTTGCAATAAGAGGCCAAGGTGTCAGAGGAAGACCTAGGCCACTTTTCAGTTGCAGATTTATATAGACTATGATTAGGATATTTTTTATGAGGAAGGACCTAAGCAGTCAGCTCACTCCTCTTCCATTGTTACGGAAGGTCTTACTCTGTTATATTCTTACGTTTATTATGCTTAAATTAGCACTGCCAGATTGCAAATGTCACGTTCCCTTAGCAGGAAGATATTTTTTTCCCCCAAACTTTTCACACGAATTTACCCTTCCATAAATATGTAACAAAACACTTGTAGTAGTTGAAACAAATGCTATTTATATAACTGATATGCCAACGTGTGGTGGTGGTTTTAAATTGGTTTTTCCTAGAGGCGTATCAAGGTAAATACAGTCAGCTTAAAAACTGATCATACTTGATGAGGCTCTGCAAAGGCAACAAAAACTTCTAGTGAAAGCTTTGTAACCACAATGCATTTTTTGAAATAAATATAATGTACTCTATGACTTGAGGCACCTGAAAAGTGCAAAGCTAAAATGTGTCTTGATAATTATGGGTCTATGACACCAAAGCCAAGTTTGAAATATGAAGATGGAACTTTGAAGGATAACATTTTTTTAATTCTGCCTTTCTTGTAATTTGGCAGGTATTTTGCTCTCTCAAAATCCAGCACAAAATTCCCCAGTCACAAAAAAAAATTCTCCCTCCTTCCAGCACAGGTGGTATTTATTGGTATTCAGTAATTTTAGGCCACCTTCCCATTCCTTTACTCCCACCAAGTCTCACTGAGATGTCAATTTTTAAGAATAATTTAAAATGTTTAGCAAAGTACCAGTCTGAGAAATTAACAGAATATGGAATTACATACTTTAAGTATTTTGAAGATAATATTAAGTACATAAGTAGGGTCTGAAGAAAACTAGATATTTGTACCTTTCCTACCCTTCTTTTCAGTCTTGCTACATTTTCCTAGCAATCAAAGCCAGCTTACTTCGGTAGAGTAGAATTTTCGTTATTTTAAAATTAGATGAAAAGAGCAACGTATCAGGAATAAAAGTAAAACCTTCATGACAGAGGATAATGTGAGCATCTCTTCTGCAGATGAAAGGAAAATAGACACTGCATTTAGAAAAGTGAATGATAACCAGCTCGAACTGCACTTTCTCCCTCACTCTGCCCCCAGAATTTTAGAGATGCTGGCCAAAATGATGCAGATGACTTAGAATGGCAAAGATTAGGATTTTCCACCAGACACTTTCAAATGCTGGACCATAAAAATGAATACGAATGGCTTCCTTTATGTAAATAATAGAAATGTTCCTGTGGGTAATTCAGAAACAAATTGTAATCATTCCTGCAGCAGATTTCATTTTGGAAGAGGAAATCCTATTAGGATCCAAATTCTTTTCATACCCTCTGCCCACAGACTGAGCATTCTAGCTGATAATCAATTTCTTTGCTTCCTGCTCTCCCCAGTATCTATTTTGTTGCCGGCCACAACGTTTTTGCTAATGTCAAAATATAGATTCTCAAGCTAAGGCCATACTTTAATTTATCCAAATATTTTGTAGTCAGTCATTGCTTTTCTGAGGAATGCAACATCGGTAAAACATCACCATTCCTGACGCTAAAAACCCCTGAGAGCAAGTCTCCAGAAGTTGTTGCTACGCTCAGTGGGAGCTGCTCGGAGCCAGCACAGAAGAGGCACTTGTGTTGTGGCACTTGTGATCTAGACTTCATCTCTTGAATTGGCACAACAGTAATAATTTTCAGAATCCCTTATATTTCTCCTTAACACAATTAGGGTGTTACACATTTGATTTCATTCCTCAAATTAACATACCATAAAATATAGTTATTAGTAAAAAAACAAATGTGCGGCCAAAAATTCAGTCATCTATTCCCTGAAATGTGAAAGCAAAGTGATCTGTCACTGAAACCATCACAATCATGTCAAAGGCTTCAATTCTGATAAAATGGTACATAGAAGAAAGTTTTATTCAAATATATTCGACTAGTTCTAGCACTCAGCTGGTTGAATATCTCCCATGAGAGAATTATTTTACAGCATGTACTTCCATTGGTAGGATGACCATCAGAACTCAAGGAACTTAGGGATTTGCAAGCCCTGGCCCGTACTTAGGTTACAGTGATTTCTCCTCAGAACTATTGATTTGCACCAGAGAGGACTGTGGCCTAACGTATCAAGGATGATCACTTTGCAAAATAAGTCTTACATTTGGATTATTACATTTTAAACGTGTCATTTTTTAGAGCTTCAGATCAAACATGACATTAAAAAAAGTGCAAAGTAGGGTAATGCATGGTATCATGCCATAATGTTACAGGTGACCTGCGAAAAGACGCTGGCAGAAGGAAGTCTCACTCACTCCTCTGCAGCACGGACACGTGCCATGGTTCATTGTTTTCACTCGCACAGACAGGGCAGGTTGCCAGATTTTGTTTCCACTGAAGTCGACGGCAAACCTTTTGTTGACTTTTGTGGTCCCAGAGGAGATGCCGTTAGAATTTGGATTGCCTTGGCACTTCATGCTGTAGTGATGCACTCAAGCAGTTTGGTAGCTTTTTTCTCCTCTCTTGTTTGGTTATCATTGTAAGAACAAAGCAAGGCATTTCTAGACCAACTTTCATTTTAGAGAAAACAAAATCTGGCAGAGAAAAAAAAAAAAAAAAAGAGAAAGAAAAAGAACCTGAATAACAAAATACTTTCCCAACTCAGAAGCAATAAGTTTTTAGCACTTCATTGTCTCCTCCGCACTCCATATGATACCAATGTAGGCGAACAGTGAGCAAGAGCTATCTATAGAAAACAGTTTAAACTGTGAATTCTGCCACACCTCCATTCTGCAGCTCTCCCATTAGCAGGCTATATTTGTACACTTTATTATACCATGAGTACCCATTCTGATAAAAGACATCATAAATTTTAGAAGAGTGCGGGCAGCAAAATACTTGGGGAAGGTGTCAGCTCAAAACTTTCTGCAGATCACCTGGAAGCAATGCGACAATATTTGCAGTGGGTCCTATTCTCTTGTTGCACATCTGGGTACCACGGCAAAATGAACTGCTAGGCTCTGCCCTCCGTCAACGGTCTTCCATAAAATGAACAACTTGGAGGCAGCAGAGGGTGGGAGGGAGTGCTGCTCAGAAATCTAGAAAATACACCGTAATTTAAAAATGGATTGGAACTGCCAAACTAATCCGAGCCCGAGCTGAGCTCTAAGCATTAATTACTCATATACTTTTAGAAGTTATGAAACATGTCTGTATTTGACCTTGCGTCTAAATACGGAATTGCCCATACAGAGAAGCTGCTTGGCATTTAATCATTCTTGCCTTTCACCTTGACAGAGTTAAAGTTGTTCTACCCCCACTGAGGGGAAGCCGTATGGCATGCAATTAGATTCTTGCTCTAGGTTAAGTTACTCCTGTATATTACATCTTTTGCCCATGATTCATCCCATCAACTGTCATGTAAACAGGAGGAAATGTCAGATGAGTTTTTTTCTGAACATTCGGTCATTTGGCAAAAAAGTCATAATTTGTATTCAATTACTGTGAAGGCTGTGCTAGTATCAAGATATAGATAGTCCAAAATTTTTCATATGAAAACACTTCAATGAGATGGCTGAACCTTTAAAAGTCAGTGTCTGAGTCTTTAGTCCCCTCCTCCCCCTCCACAAAGCGGTGGATTGGAAAGAGGCCCAGGAGAAGGGCAGCCAAACCTTGTTCATTATCAGATGGAACACAACAGCCATCAGGGAACTCTGTTAGGACTTCACTTTCCTCCACGCTACAACAAAAGCCTTTTTTACAGATATATTGGGAAACCAAACACATAGCTGCACAGAATGAGAAAGTACAAAGCAGCAAGGGTTTATATAGTGATAATATGAGTTTTTGGCAGTTCCAAACTCATTAAAACAGTAATTCTCAAAATCTGATTGTAAATATATTACATAAGACTTCAAAATGCAATTTAACATTTTTATTTAACTAGCTGGCTTTCAGGATATATGTGATTTCTTCCCTTACAAGTATATTACTGCTCATGCATTTTTTTTTTCCTTTTAACTCTCGTCTTTCTTTACTGTTGACTTTGCCTTCTTCAAGACTCATTTCTGGCCCGTCCTCGCAAACACCGTCAAGGTTAGTGCTTGCTGACTCACAACAGTGCCCATTATACTCAGACGCTTGCAGGAGAAAGCACTTGCAATTGGAACAGGCAGGGACCCTTATCTTGCAATCTCTGCAAAGCACCAGGTGCTGCTAATGTCCAGTTTAATAACAATGGCAGTAGTCACCCAGAAATCTGCCATTACATGTGGACAAGGAGTAAGAGCATTTGTAGACTCAGTGGGGGCATTGCTGCCTCCCCAGTATGCACACAGCTGCCTGTGAAGCCAAGGTTAAGCCATAGACGCAACAGCAGGTGAAACACTGTGACGCCAACAAGAAGTCTGACTTTGGTAGCAAGCGATGGATGCTTAAAGTATTTTTTGTCTTCCTCCCCAATTTAGATGGAGAAACTCCTATCCTGCTTCAGCCGACTAACGCAACTGAGAAGACACAGCTAATAGGGGACAGCCATCGGAGCTATCGCACGGACTCCTAGAGCAGGGAAACGGGACCTGTTGGCACTTCCCACTGAGCGTCACAGCGAGAAAAACACGTCATAAGCTCTGCAGCCTATATTTGTAGTTGTCTTTAAGCTAATCAAGAGTAACCTGAGAGTAATTTCCTATCAAGGCAGAATTTCCCTCTAGGTCACTTCCAGTAGGTTGATATCTACACTCTGCAAGGAGACACTTACGCCCAGTGCAGACGAGCATGGTGGTCTCTCATGGCTTCAAACTGCCAGGCTCAGCATGGTCTTTCCCTCTAATAATACTCCCTTTGGTATAATTGATCTCATCCCTTCCCTCAGCCAGGGTTTCACCTCCCAGACACAGCCCCGAGTCCCTTTCCAGACACACCAGCTCTGTCCCTCCCTGTCCTGGGAATGCTCCTCGCGTGCAGCAGTGTTACTGGATGTGAAAAGTTCCCGTGAGGGAGCCCTGGAAATGCTTTTTATCAGACCTCAGAGGGAAAGTCATAGAATCATAGAATGGTTTAGGTTGGAAAGAATCTTGAAGATCATCAAGTTCCACCCCCCCTGCCATGGGCAGGGACACCTCCCACTAGACCAGGTTGCCCAAGGCCACGTCCAGCCTGGCCTTGAACACCTCCAGGGATGGGGCCTCAGCAACCTCTCTGGGCAACCTGTTCCAGTGTCTCACCACCCTTAAAGTGAAAAACTTCTTCCTAATGTTTAATCTAAACCTGCCCTCTTCCAGTTTATAGCCATTCCCCCTCGTCCTGTCACTACATGCCCTAGTAAAAAGTCCATCCCCAGCTCTCCTGTAGGCCCCCTTTAGGTACTGGAAGGCGGCAATAAGATCTCCCCAGAGCCTTCTCTTCTCTAGGCTGAACAGCCCCAACTCTCTCAGCCTCTCCTCATAGGAGAGGTGCTCCAGCCCTCGGATCATCCTCGTGGCTCTCCTCTGGACACGCTCCAGCAGGTCCATGTCCTTCTTATGTTGGGGACTCCAGAGCTGGATGCCCCAAGTCAGTGGTAAAGCAGACCGGGCTGTCCTTCCCTTTTCCTCCAGAGAGGAAAACCTCTTTGGAAAGCAGCTAGTGGCTTGCTGGGGCCCAGCCCTGGCAATTATAAACCTGAGCCAGGACAAGGTGCTCAGGGATCGTTCTGCTGGTGGTTACGCGACAGGTCACTCCAAATCCAGAAGCCTTGTCCAGCACCAGAAGCATATGTAGGCTCTGGGTCCTCCCCTGCACAAGCTGCAAAGCCAAGAGACAGTTGGGAAACACCTCAGTGGAGGGAGACACTGGCCCTGGGCTGCCCCAGAGCCTCTCTCCTCTCCCTGTAGGTGGTGACAGCCCCGTGGCAAAGCTCCCCTGATCTTGCCTGGACAGGCCTACCACCCATGTTGGGTAGCCCCGGCTTCTCTGGCTGCAGCTGCAATGTTGGAAACTGGTCCCCAGCCAACAGCTTTCTGCCAGCTTGCTTATTCCACCATGCTCCTGGCTGCCAGCCCCGCTGCCCTGCTGTCACTGGGCTAGGAGCCATCACACCAGCGCTGGCACTGGGGCTGCAGGAGCAGCAAGGACTTGGCAGGGCAGGCAAGCAGCAGGGGAGCGACCGTCCTCCTCACAGCCCGGCTCATCAGGGTGAGCTGTGGTCCTTCCCTCTGCCCCAGCCACAGGCACTTGAAGAGCACATGGCGCGATTTTTAAAGAAAGAGGTAGGGTTGAGATTTGTGTTCAGGTGTACTGCTGCACAAATCAGTGGAGATATGTGTGGGTAGCACTAAAGCAAGCATGAAGAAATCAGGCCTCTAATTTGTAAGAGCTAAAGAAATACTTCTGAGATCTTCCACTTAGCACTTCACTGGTTTGACATAGTACTTTAAGCCTTAGACAGCTGAATTTCTCTCTATTGATCATGTTACATCAATCATTGTCAGTTCGGTGCATTTCCTATTTTTGCTCCTCTAATCACAGTGCTGCGGTCCAAAGGGGGACGTAATGCACCACTAAATTATATAGACCAGTGAATATATAGCTAGTCAAAAGTGTTATTCCCTTCCTTAAAATTGGATCCTGCAGTCGTGAAACATTATTGTCTTCCTTCTATTCTCACCTTTCACATCAAATGTCATTCAGTGGCAGCTAAATATATGGGAAAAGAGTCAGTTTCATCACACTAGCTCTAATTCCAAAGTCAAGAAACAGTACTTTTAACATTTCTTTAAAGTTCCCATAACACATGGAGATTTTAAAAGTCATTAATTCCAGTTCAGGTTATTTGTCTGTTCTCCAGGCACAGGCACTGGGGCCAGCTAACGCTCACATCGCCTGCAGAGACAGCCCTATTTTCTGCTTTCAAGAAGAGAGAAAGTCCTGGCACGGCTGGAGCTGTGCACAGGCACTCACTCCCCTCCCACCCAGGGGCTCCTCTTTATCCTCGGTCGCATGTTGCAAATAATTTTGGAGGCCGTTGATACGTATGTAAATCCATACTACCGTCCTGCCTGCCGAGTGATGCCGGGGGGATGTGCCCATCCATCCCGGCGGTCCCAAGGGAGGAGGGCTGGTGACACCATCCTGCCGCTGAGGAGATGTGACCCCAGAAGGCACGTTCCCAGCAGTAGCTGCGTGCCACGAATCTTCCCACCGAGTGGCTGGATCAGATGGCGTGTGCATTGGGGAGCTAGTGCTCCGAGACATGCCGGGGGACACCAGCACCCACTCACCCCAGCGCACACGTGCGCACACACACACGTCTTTTGGCTTTCTTCGCTATTCCCCTTTGCACGGTGTTTGCTCTGGTGTAAGATGTTATCACCCAACAAAGGAATAGGGAGAGCACATAGCATGTGACAAATCTGCAGGCTAAGTGATTTCTTAAGTTTTACTGGCTGGTAGAGAAATTCACTGTGAAAATGTGCACACGCTATGTAGTGACTATTTCCAGCAGAGATGGAAAAGGTGTTGGGAGAGAAGTCTAGTGTAAAGCTACACATTATAAGCAGAATCATTTTCCCATGTGAAATCCCTCGTCCTGCTCCCATGGAATTGCACCCTTGATTTCAAAAACAGCTAGAGATCAGTCCTAAAGCCAAGGAGGGAAAGGTATATCCCAGATTAGTAAAAGTAATTGGGGATTTATTTTTCACATGCAACACCTTTGATGTCCCTCTGGACCCCACTCTATGGGCCAGATCCAAAGTTTATTGAAATCAAGGAAATTATTTCCATGGGCTCGAGAGGTACCATAAGTCATGTGGTTCCTGTTCATTCTTTCTAAATGTGAGTTTTTTTCTTGGAAAGGATTTATGACTTGGTCTTGCAGTGTGATGCACACGTGGATGAGCTGCTGCATGTTTGCAAGGCCCTTTTACTGACATGGGGATCTCTACGGAAGAGCCACAATGCATTATCTCAGTTAGCCAAAAACCTCAGAACAAACCAGTGACCAAGGCCCTGAGTGGGTTCTCCAGGACTTGCAGCCTAAAAATCTGAGTGTCTGATCCCATGGTTTAATTCCAAAGAGGAAACTTAGTTTTAGAGTACCAGAGCATTTGCCTGTCTCACTGCTGTCAGGATCAGCTATTCCGAGGATGCATGGAGAAAGAATGAATAAGAACTTCAGGACTTAGCTCTTCTATGTTATTTTACTCATTTGTTTGCTTTTCAGGAAAGATCCTAATGTGAACATAGCTATGCTTACACGATCTGTTTCTGTGTAAAGTTCAGGTGCACACTCCTTAATCTTCTCAAAATGTACAGATCCTCACAATTTTGTTCTGTTTTGCTGCATTTATTTATATGTAAAGTACTATATATTCAAATCCACCTTTGCTGTCAACCACTCTGACTAATAAAGGTTGTATGTATGAGTTGCAGCATTCCCTTTACTTTTCCATGCTTTCAATGACTTTGTTCTGGTAACAGCTAGAAAAGCTGAGACAGCTGTCCAAAATGATGGCTTTGCACCCCGACAAGTGGCAAGCTACAACTCAGGGTTTCCCCAAAGAGGAACTCGGTCTTGGGTTGTGGCAGATGAGCCTACCTATGCAAAGCAGCCAGAGCTTCAGCCACACATTGCAAACGCCTCCTTTATATCGTGCAAAATATTTGTCTACATAAGAAAATTCAGCACAGTGATATAACACGGTTGTTTTACTGGCGTTAGTACCTACATGGAACGATTCCCCCCAGCAAAGGGTGAAATGGTGCTGCTGCTGAGGACAACGGCAGCCATCCCCTGGGGCCAGCAAGTCACTTGGGGGTTTTGCATGTGTCCAAGAGCCAACGCAGAGTGCCAGATCCTCTGGGCCTGCTACGGGACAGGGACATTTCTCACTAGGATGGTATCCGGTATCTGTGACCACAGAAGCCCAAGCATTTGAAAAATGGACAAGGGGCAACTGTTTTGGCTGGATGTCTCCTCAAAGAGCTGTCCTTTTGCATATTTAGATGTTAACTCATACCCAGATTCACTCAAAATACCAAGTGGGAGACGCATCATAGAAGATTTAGTCCTACCATCAACATAAGTAGTTATTTAGGTATTTTGTGCACTTTTCTATCCACAACAAACTTGTATGATAAACCACTCTGATTAATCCAATAAAACATCAAAACCTAATTAATTGTATGTAATTTTATTTCAATGCTTACCAGCCCTCAGAATGAATACCCAAGGTATGGGTATGATTTCAGTCAAAAAGAATTACATTTCTGTGTCTTTTTAGAAGAATATCATTAAAGAAAAATGATGAAGCACGCAAAACTGAGCACAGTTAAAATTACTGATTTTTTTTTTTCCATGCTATCGTTTTCCATAGGATATAAAGTGTCCATTGTGCTGTTACAAAGCAGAGAGAAAGACCACGGAAGACGGTAGTCCCCTTCCTTCCCTCCGCAAACTGAAGTCAGGTAAATCATCACATCCAGCATCTCCTTTCACTTTGAGAGGGACGAACAGGTACGGAAGTCTCACACAAGAAGACTCAGTCCCTCACGCCAGCATCACCCATCCCAGGGTCAGGA